TGAAGAGACAGAGCTTAGAACAGGTTTTTAGAAACTTGTCCCTGCCTCCTGAATTGCAGGGAGGATTTTTAAAGCTTGAAAGAGAACTTAGAGAGGTTTTGCTGTCTTAAGAGGTTTGTTGTTTTCCTTTAAAGCTAATCACAGGTGATCCCCATACTAATATCTTCAGGTGATTCTAATTTTTGTCCTTCTTAGAGAGAAAGTGTTGTGCCCAGATTGTGATCCCCAGAGAGACCACCAAAGACGAGCATGCCGGAATGCAAAAGCAAGGTTCAATTCTGGATATCCAAAAGCAATACAAGCCTAGGCAGGGACTTCGTCCAATACATCCAAGGCAGTAGAGGCTGGAGGAAGTGCCCACCTATCTGCAAGCTCAGTTTTAAAGGGAAAAATCACAAGGTTACATCATTTAGGGGTGCTAGTATGGGTACAATTCTGATTGGCTAGCTTCTAGGGACTTCTAGAAATTACTTCTAAGGGAGTGGTTGCCCGCCACCATTTCTCATTGGCTGCCCTCAGGTGGGGGCATTTCTGTGGTCAGTTACCCTGGAAACCAGGGAGAGGACATTCCATAGTCCGGCAGCCATTACATCCTGACTACCTTGTAACTCTGTACTTTTACACTTCCTGGTTTCTGGAATCTGAACTGACTGGTTTCAGTAACTAATGGCCTATTATTCCCAAAAGGGGAAATCTTAGGCCTTAATTTTAGGGTGAAAGCATTTTGGTCTTATTTCTAAGATAGCTCATTTTGGTCTCACAAAAGTTAAAGGCTTTAGTTTTTAAGTTTAAGAGAGCTTTTTGAGAAAGAGTAAGGCTTTTTAAGAGAGTTTTCCCCAAAATTTTCCAAGAAAAGCTTTTTAGTTTAAGAGAATGATTTTTTTTTTCCCCAAGGGAGAAAAACCAACTTTCCCCAAAACTTTTAACTTTAAGCTTTTTGGCTTTTTACATCCGCATTTTTGCCTCAGGGAAAAATCACTTTCTACTACTGCATGCACTTAGCATTTCAGCTGTCCCCAGGTCAAAAGCTTCCATAGGAAACTTTTTCTTCCCCATAAGCTCAAAGAAGATCTTTTTTACTATCAGTAAAGCCCAAAGAAAGATTTTTTTTCCCAGTTTGCATTCATAACCTTCAAAGTTAGAAAATTGAGTTTTGCTGTCTAGTTGCCTTACTTATTTTTTTTTACACAATCTTACACTTCTAAGTTTTTCCTACACTATATTACTAGCCTATATCTTATACTTATTTTTAACAAATAGAAATTGAGAAAGGGATAAAAAATAGAAAATTTTGACAGACGAGAATTTTGCGCTGCAGCATCGGACATCCTTCCAGTCCATTTTCCTTTTCTCTCGAGGATAAAATCCCTGCCCCTCAATAATATACATATATAAAATATATATTTTTTCCATAACACTGGCATGCCACTTTACACTGGCAGGGCTGACCCACACTTTCACCAAAACTCTCTAATAAAACTTATTTTTCTTTATCTTTATTCCCTATTACTTTGTCTTTAGTCCCTGTTCATTTGTCTTAGTTCCCCCTTTTTTTGGTCTTTAGTCTCCTTTTTTTTTCTTAGTCCCCTCTTTTTTTTTCTTTTAGTCCCTGTTCATGGCATCATTCTGTGGGGTGTTTACCCACCAACCCCACACCTCCCCAGAGTTTTCTTGAGTGTGAGCAGCAGGAAACATTAGATAGAATGATTTATAGTGCGGAGATAAATAGATAGAAAATAAAGGAGAGCCTCAAGAGGGCCTGGAACCTTTTCCAACGGGTCCCGACTAGCTCTGCCCCAGGGTTTTTATAGAGACGCCAAGGGGGTGGAGCAAAAGACCTCCTCCTCCAGCACAGCCAAGTGCAGGCCATCTCAGACACCTGCACTCGGGCCTGTGGTCCTAATCATCCTCTCTATATGGACCTGCTGGGTAAAGCCACGAGGAACCTGAAAATGGGCTCCCACAACTGCTGTGGTCATTTTAATTTTTATTATAATTATTGTTACTATTATTATTATCTGCCATTTCCACATGAACCCCGTTGTAGTACACACTCTCACCCCCTACTCTCTGCAACCCTGGGACATAGTTCCAACTAATCTCTCTCTGT